CTCTCTTTCCCTCTCCCTCTCTCTCTTTCCCTCTGCCTCTCTCTCTCTTTCCCTCTGCCTCTCTCTCTCTTTCCCTCTCTCTCTTTCCCTCTGCCTCTCTCTCTTTCTCTCTCTCTCTCTCTCTCTCCCTCTCCCTCTCTCTCTTTCCCTCTGCCTCTCTCTCTCTTTCCCTCTGCCTCTCTCTCTCTTTCCCTCTCTCTCTTTCTCTCTCCCTCTCTCTCTCTCTCTCTCTCACTCTTTCCCTCTGCCTCTCTCTCTTTCCATCTCCCTCTCTCTCTCCTTCCCTCTCCCTCTCTGTCTTTCCCTCTCCCTCCCTCTCTCTCTTTCCCTCTCCCTTCCTCTCCCTTCCTCTCTCTCCCTCTCTCTCTTTCCCTCTCCCTCTTTCCCTCTCCCTCTCTTTCCCTCTCCCTCTCTCTCTCTTTCCCTCTCCCTCTCTCACTCAACCTCTCTACCCATCTTTCTCTATTTTTTAAATATTTTTTTTCCCACAGACAAGTTAACAGAAGCATGATGACATTTGCATCAATGACCTTTGGTCACGAAAGGCTTAATTACAATATTTATTACTGTCAACGGATAAAATATATTAACATCTGTGATAAAAATGGCAGAAAACATTTTTGGGGTATTTAACTGTCAAACCATGACAGGAAGTATGGGCTTTATGAGCTATAGGACAGTGGGGGACACCAATGAGTTGTAAGTGGACCAGCTACACGGTTCTCATTGTTGGGGAGCCTTGTGATAATGATCAGATCTTCTTCTCCTCGCTGAGCTCACTATTAGGAAACATTTTGCCTTTCCCCAATCTGGATATTAATATTTTTTTTTGTGCTGAAGCTGCAGAAAGTTTTAGGGACTCACCTCGGCACGCACTCCCCTCCCTGGTGATCGCCTGCTTGCACACGCTACATGACTTCACCTTCTTAAAGTTCTTTATCTTGAATGTGTGACAGTTCTGTCCCTCCAGGTCTTCAGGCTGTGAAAGGGAAAAATGGAATGATCAGTATTTATCACAAGGCTGTCATCTCACTTCCTTCATTACTTATGCTAAAGGGACAGTTCACCCAAAAAGAGATGTTTCAGTTAAAGGGGAAGTCTGAGTCACCCAATGGACTCTTAACATTGTCCAGGGACTAACAACAAAGTCACAGTCGCCAAAGTTCATCGTCCAGAGGTGTGTAGACATCAGGGCTTCTCACAACTAAGCAGCACTTCAAACAGTCAGGGTGTCTGAGGTCTATCATACAGGAAACAGAAAAAGCAGTGCACCTCTCCTGTGTAGAAGCCTTTAATGAGTGAAAATGTTAAAACATTCAAGACAGGTACTCACAAGCAGCCAATGTTAAAAAGCCTCTAATGTTTGTTTTTGTGTGTTTTGCCTAACTTGATGACTGTTATACGCTGTATTTGACCTCAGCACAATGTGTACATATGTGACTATGCACACAGGCAAATGTTTGTCCGAATGTTTTCAATCTTTGTACTGTTGGAAAACTTAATAAAACTTTTTTCTGAAAAAAAAAAAAAGCCTGTAATGTGCAGGGGTGAATCTGCACTGAATGGACATCAGATGTCAGTCACGTCAGGACCCTCGATAAAAGCAATCCTCCTGTTTATTCTGTATGATTTTCCAGAGACTCCAGCAGTGGGATGCTATGCCACGGTTGTAGGCTCTAATTCAGCCCATTCTAGGAATTCTAGTGTTCCCATCTACATTTGGGTATTCTGACTCATCCTGATGTTCAATAATCTTAAAACATCACTAGGGAGGGCTGATCTCATAACGGTCTTTACAATTGTGCAGACCTGAAATTTAAAGGAGAACTATGGGGTCAGGGGTTTTCCCCATAGTTCTCCTTAGGGTAACGGGAGGACACAAACTAGCGTCCTCCCTTCACCCTAAACTCAGTATACCGCGAGCTACAGCTGGCGGTATACTGAGACGCCGCCCAGAGATCCGCCACCCAGAGATGTCGAGATCCGCCCAGCTGCGTGAGTGACAGCTGGCTCTGCCTATCTAGAGGCAGAGCCAGCAAATTAAATCTCACCACTGGAGGGATAAAAGAACCCATTAGGTGGAATACATTTCCAGTTTTGGAGTGACTATGTGTTTCTTAGGAGGCTATACAAATCTGCCATTTTCACCATCATTGGTGCTGATTTGGCCATTCTTGGTGACAAAAAAACCCTCTGGGTCTGCATGCATGCTTAATGCAATTGGATTGCACAATTTAGGTAGATTTAAATGTACAAAAGTGTCAGCATGAGCGTGATTACTCAAGACTCAATTCTACAAACTTTAAATAATGTTATA